TTTCACCGTGTTTATATACACATTCACTCCACCAATGGTCCTAATCACTTCCATCAATCTTTCTCGAAATCTCTAGACTATTCCCAATCGATTAAACAAAGGACTTCTTTCCGATTTCCGGTTTGAAAATATTCGAGAGATTTCGGGGCGCTTACAAAACGATAACATCAGCTGATATCGCTATGCACACTCGCTTTTCTTTCCTGCCACACACACTCGTATTCATATCGCTACATGTACTCACACTCATACTCATATCCATATCGCTACATAACTTACAAATCTTTCAACGTTCATCAATTGTTTCACGCATACTATAACTCGCACTCATCATCTTTCTCCCACCCTTACATATATACAGTAGAGCCTGTTTTTGTCGGTCCTTTTCTATGCGATTTTTTTTTTGTGCGATCTTTTTTCTAGGCAATTTTTTTCGTGCGATTTTTTTTTACGCGGTATATGAATTTCAGCGGCGTTGGCAACAGTTTAATGTTTCCAATAAAAAATTAAGTGTTTTTAAAATATTTCCAGGTCTAATTTACTTATTTAATTTGTCGGAAAGCATTTTCTGCTTTATTTCGTTAATAATTGATGTATTTTCTAAGTGTGACTTTTTTTATGCGGCCCCTCTCCGTCGCATAAAAAAAATTTATTTAATATATCGTACAAAGTTGTTTATTATATGTAAGTATTTATAAAATTTTTGAATATTTTTTTGTACGATTTTTCTTATTCGGTCCCTATCCTCCGCGCAAAAACAGGCTCTACTGTATATATATATTCTTTTTGTTCTTTTTCGATAAAACGTTGATCGAACAAATTTCTATTCGTTTCTCTCTCACACACACATATACTCTTTAGTAGTTGTAGGTTTTTCTACTGGTAAAGCCATACTTTTCTCGCCACGGTAAACGAGCCCTTAATATCCGTCCTTCCAACGGTTTGCAGTTAAGCGCGACTACGATGTTCGCTCCTGTAATATCGTTCCTCTGTAACGAGGTTAGTTTAGTCGGGGTAGTAGTCGTACTATAGTGAACAGGGGGCTTGTCGAGGGTAGTAGAAAAAGAGAAAGAGAATGAGAAAGGTAAGGAAGGTTAAAGGAGTATAGATAGAGAGAGGAGGGTCGCAAGCTTGCTTCGGAGAGGGAATAGAGAACTATGAGGTACGATAAAGAAAAGAGGAAGAGAGAGAGATGGAAACAGTTAGTTCCGTTCCTTCGTAATATCCGGTAACCTTATCTCCAAGGTCGTCCTTGGTCCCGCTACAAACCAGAAATCCGTCTGTTCTAGCTTGATTTCTATCTATCGGAGAATACACTTGTTCAACCTTTGAGAATAAACTTCCTAGTTACTATAAACCCTTTATCTTGGTAATAGAAACGATCGAATTTCTCCATGGGCTTATAACACTTTGTTTCTATTTTTCTAATAAGATTTTAATTCCTAGATGATAATTTTAATTCGTAATACTTGTCGAGAAATTGTACGAACAATTCGTAACGATTGATTCGTTCTACACAGTTTACTTTTTATTTTTCGAAACCACCGCACGTATGTGTGGTAATTTAGTTGGTCCTATAAAGAAAATAAAAAAAAAAGAGCAATCTTTACACGTACAACATTTTTATTTTGCGTGGTTAACGTCGATAGATTGCTTTTAAAATTTTCATATATATTTCTTTTTTGTTCTAACTCGTTAAAACTAATTTTAGTTGTGTAACCCTATGTTGTCTATCGTACAATTTTCGATTAAATATAATAAACAGAAAATGTTCATCCTTTCTTTTTCCTCTTCCATTTACGATAAAACTAAAAAAAAAAAAACTAACAAAATTTGTTTCTAAAAAGATTAAGATTAAAACTTGATAGATAATTGTTTCATCGTTTACATGCAATTTTTTGGCTAAGAGAGAATTTTCTAAAAGTTAACTGACTCTTAAAAGAACACTAGAAGAAGAAGAAGAACTCTAAAAAGAAAAAAGGAGTAAAAGAAGAAGAAGAAGAAAAAAAAGGAAAAAGTGGTGAAAGAATAAAGTAGAGAAAGAGAGAGAGAGAGAGAAAGGGAAAATAGGGGTACGTCGTCGTCACGTGGACGTAGCCTCGAGGCTAACGTTCAACGTACGACGAGACGATGTAAACTATGTCGACGATGAGGGAACAAGTTGTAGGAGAGACCGTGGAAGCGGAAGGTGGATAAAGAAAATAGGGGTGAGAGGAGGGTGGAAAAACTAAAGAGGAATATGGTGGAATATCGATCGAGTAAAGCCTCACGGTTGTTTAGATAACCGTGTATTCTCTAACGATATCGATACGATGTAAACACAAAGAGAAACAGAGAGAAACTGAGAGAAAGAGAGAGAAAGAAAGCGAGAAAAAAAGGGGACGCAAAAATAAAGAAAAGAAAAAAAAAAGAAAAGTGGAGAAGAAAGGGTGCACTTAAGTAAAGAAGGTAGGAAAAAAAAGAGGAGACAGAGATATGGGTGGAAAGTAGGAAGGGAGAAGGAGGAATAAGGGACTAGCTTAGAAGAACTAGGATCAAGATTATCGATCGAATCTTGCGAAACGAGCAAGAAAGACTCTTTCTCTATATCTCTCTCTCTCTCTCTCTCTCTCAGTTACTTACGAAGGGCCGACAGAAAGAAAATATGCGACAGCCAGAAATAAAGGTCGGTTCCGCACGAAAGATTACTGGCTTTCTCCCTTTTACCGATGGGGGTATATACCTTCTCCCTCTCCACCTTCTCACCCCCACCCCCAGGAACAAGAGAAGTCCTTTTCCAACTCGTACGTCTTTTTCTCTCATTGTGGTGGCATAGGTAGTGTTATTCACGTTGGCACGAGTAGAAAGAAAGGAAAAGGAAGAGGCCACGAGGCAGGCAGTGTGGCACCTTCGACCCACACATACACATATACATATGTATATATTCGTGTTTTAAAACGGTGCGCTCGCGAGAAACGATCTATCAGCCCTCGGCCAAGATAAAAGTTTGCCGGTGCTCATTGCCGCGAAATATGGTGGCAAAGGATACTCGAGTAGCGGAGGACAGCACTAGTTATCGTATAAACAATATATTTTAACGCGACTAAATGCATGTGTGTGTATGTTTATGTGTTTATATAAGAGACCTAGGACATTTACTTCTATGTATAATACATATACGATTTTCTCCACTTCCTCTCCCCCTACTACTATCCAAGTATTTTCATTCCATGTATTTCGCATTACAAACCAACGAACTAAACTATTCCCAAAGCTATTAGCAGTTCTGTTGACATATAACTGTGTTTTTTTTCTATCTGCGAGATAAATGAAATAGTTTTCTTTACATTTATTTATTTATTTGCTTTGTTTTATATATGTATAATATTAAATGAATATTTTAAAAGAGTAATAAATAATAACAAAATAACGATGGTACACTTTTTAATCAAATTTTGTATACAATGAATAATTTAATATGATCGTACATATATGTATATATATTAATTGTGAAATAAAAAAAAGGGTAAATACGTGAGATAAGATATTTCCTTCGAGCATAAGTTGTTAACATGTTAGAGTTCGTTCATTCGTCGAAATATTAAATTTCTCATTTTAATCACAGTAAATGGTCAAACACGATCGTATCTTTTTCGATCTTAGTCTTTAGTAAATGGTTTTGCGCTCCTTTGTTCTTCCAGGTGTATCTAGATTCCAATCCCCAAAGCGAGTTTCTTCTTTTTCTTTTTTTTCTCCCTTTGGCATTCCAAACGTCGAATATCCGTATTTCGCGTTCGAATCGATCGTGACTGGAACGTTAACACGGTGCACGCTCGAACAACAATCTGCTAATTGGTTCGCTCGGAGAATTTTTTCTTCCCTTTTCGAGCCCGGAACATGGGAGGGAGGAAAGAGAAAAGAAGGGAGAAAAAAAGTTGGCCAAATAATAGGAAGAACGAAATCTCCATTAATTGATAAATTGATACGGTATACCCCAACGACGTTCTTTTGTTGATTGTTAGCGTTCGTTTCACCAATAAGTGGGGAAGTCCAACCCCTTGAAACCATCGTCTTTCAATTAAAAAAAAAAAAAAAAAACAAATATAAAAGAAAGAAGATTTGTTTCAACTTGTATAATAACATCTCTTACATATTAATTTATTAAGTGGAAATTAAATAAGCAATAAATGAATTTTATACAAACACACAAGTAGAGGAGCCTGGTAAATATCGTTATTAAATGACGTTAAAAGATTCATTTTATGGATATTCCATTTTCTTTTTTAATTTTAATAACTGAAAAAAAAGAAAGAAAATTAAAAAAATCTATAAAGATAAATATTATTATTTTTAATAATCTTTGATACCAAAAGTATATATTTTTTAATAGATTTATATTTAAACGCGAAAGAAATATTTCGTTGCACAAAATATTGCTCGAATTCGTGTAAAACAAATATTGTTAATAAAAATTGTTGTAGCTTCTAATCTTAAATTTGATATTTTCTTTTTTATATATCAATAATAAAAAAATATAAATATTGAATTATTTTCAAGCACAAAATTATTATTCTATTTAATTCTAAAAAGAACCAAAAATATTATTATCAAAGTAATCATAAAAAAAATATACTGCGTAACGTAAAAGCAAATAAATAAATTTAAAAGTATAAAAAGATAACTCGTGAAAAGAAAACAAAATTACTTAAAATCTTATTTTCATTTTACGTTAGACGACGAAGATCTAAAATCTTGAAATTTCGTTTGCAAGACTCGTACTATGTACGAGGTTAGAATAATCGTGAACAACGCGTGTAGGCAGGTGTCTCGGTGGTCCGTCCGTGTATAAATTAGTCTCGTTAAAATTTTACTAATCAAGGCTTACACACGTGCACGACCAAAGATCAAAGAGCAGTCTTGTCGGTCTATATAAACATGGACACACCAGTAGTAGCCTCTGCTGTACAACGCTCGTTACAAACTACGGATTACACACCATTCTCTCCCTTCTATCAACTCACCTCGACTAGGGTGATGAGAATGATGAAGAGGGGTGGTGGACAACAGGTATAATGGTCTGCGTAATATTTTCGGTCCCTTTCTTCTGTCAAAAATTCGTCGCCGATCATGCGGACCATCCTGAAACAAAAAAATACATTTATTGTCAACTTTTAATTTCAAAATAAAATCGGGATCACGGATTTGATATAATCATTTTGGTAGCTTCGGTAAGATGAATCAAAAACGAATAATAAAGAACCTTGAAAATTAATCCTTAGCCCTTAGGGACTTTTCTTCGACTAATCGTTCAACATTTTCCAAAGATTTTTCCCCTCCACCTACGAAAATGCACCTTCCTTTTTTTCCTGTTCTCGAACCTCTTTTCTAGGGTTAATCGTTGCCAGGGGTAGTGAAATAACGAGAAATTAACTTTTCCGTAAGTTCTTCTTCCTAATAACACTCACCTCATCCTTTTCTTCTAACGTACCCTTCTCAAAAAGGGAGAGGGTAGTATTGAATAGCATGATTGAACGAAGAAGAAAGGGAAAACACTCTCGTGAACAATTACGCTCAACTTTTGCCATCGATCGTTACCTTTCTACCTTTTACTTTTCTACTTCTCGAATACACCTTCCCTTTTCTGCCTTTAGGCCAATGAAAATGATCGCGGAAAGGGCCAAGAAGTATCTTTCCATCTCCGTTTTTCTGTCTGCGTTCTCTAACGAGTTCATTGAAATCGTGAAATTGTTCTTCCCTTTTCCACCACCACTCTCTTGAAACCTACATTCTTGCATTTTAATTAATTTGTTTAAAATTAAAATGAAAAAGTAAAAAACATAAAAATTGAACAAATGAAAAAATAAAAATAAATAGGTAAAAGGGATCTCATTTACGCGTATGAAAATAATATTCTTTTCCGGATATCACTGGCGTTTTGCATATATGCATAACAGATGCGAACAACGTAATAATAATTAAAAGTACTATAAATAAAGAGAGGAAAAATTATATATATATATATATATATGTTCCCTAGATGAACTTTTATAGAAAATATTACATTATAATATATATATGCATATTCAACGTTATTTCTCATAAATTGGTCTCAGTACTTTTGATAAAAAGGGAACTAAATTATACCAGTTAGAAAATAGTTTCTTCAATTTCGCTGTTGGTATTTTCTACGTGTAATATTATCAAAACAGTCCCGAAAAGTTTATATAATTCGCTTTGTTACCGGTTAATTCGAAAAATATAAGTAGGAAACTACGTAGAAATGTAAATAATAATTTCTGCCTTTATCTCGGTAGTATAAAAAGAAAAAAAAGAACAAAGAGAAAAAACTGCCGAAGGGATTCGAATGAGAAAAGAAAGAAAGAAAAAAAGAGAGAGAGGGAAAGAAATATGTTAAACATATGGAAATAAAAAAAAAGAACAAAAATATAGAAAAGAAAGAATAGCGTTGTAGCGATAAAAAAAAAGTTTATTCACACTAAAATATATTTTTAAATATAAATAAATATGTACAAATTATAAGAAATATGAACTCGTGGCCTGTAAATTTTATTTCTTCCTTTTCAAAAAGAAATTTTATTTTTATTAGATCAAACGATCGCAAAATGTATGTAATATCGGATTGATCAGAAAAATTTCGAATAAAAAGAAATAAAAAAAAAATATAATATAAAATCATTGCCTTTGAATTTTGTTCTGTATATATAAAAATGTTTCTTTTTTATATCTACTTACAAACGTTGTGGTCAAACCAATACACACATATATATATGGATGGATAGGATAGATGAGACGACGAATCCTAAAAAAAAAAAAAGATAGATGAAGAATAAGGTGGTATCAGAGTTCGTGTAGGATTTTCTCTCACTTTTATGGCGTCCCGACGTCTCGTTACGGAAATAGCTTTCGTAGCTTCTCATATCATCGTCTCCTCGTTTTTCGATTTCCTCATATTTCGGGGGTTAGTAGAAAAGGGAGGGGGGTGAGAATGGATGGATGGATATCACTATCATCCGTACACTTATTTACTCGCTTCAACGCGACATAAACCGCGGTCAACCAACAGCAGTAACAGCAACAGCAATAACAGCAACAGCAACAGCAACAGCAACAGCATCTCGTTGCTGCTACTCTTCGATAAAATATCATCGATCTTTTTGAGCAAAATGACGACGAGAACATCGATAATATTTTCCAATATATATATATATATACACATGGATACAAGGTAGAACGTAACACGCGTGTGTATAAGCGCGTGATACATATGCTCGTTCGATAAAAACGGGTCAAAGTACGATCGAGCGCGTTTCCTGGCGTACATGAAAATCTCGTTATGTAAAAAGCCATTTCTATTAAATCGGTTTCACGTACGCTTAGAAATACCACCTAACAGCAGCACCACTACTACTACCAGCACCAATAGCAAAGCACTATTCGCAAAAGCGGCCGCTAGAAAGCGCCCGAACAACACACTGGGGCCGTCGCGTGCTGCTTTCGTGTGCGATGGAAAAATGTCGATTCATCGGCTCGATGCTCGCTCATTTTTAATCGACCATGATCATAACGAATTCAATACTCGTTCGACGTTGAATCACCTTCCTCTCGCGTTTTACTATACCACAGATATTCCCGCTAAATATAATATATATAGACAAATTTTCTTCGTATGTTAATATTACTATTTCTTTTATTTTCATATTTTTGTTCTCCCCTTCGTTCATCAAACATTGCATACAACCACCTAACTTACCCTCTCTTTTTCTCTCTTTTTCTTGACAATTTTTTATATCTTGTAGAATAGCTACTTGTTATTCGAGAAAAAAAATCATCGATATGAACTCGAATCGAAATTAACTCCGATTGAACACGATAAAGTGTATTCGGTTGAACGAAATATAAAAAAAGAAAAAAAAATGAAAAAAATCGAGATTGAGAGTAGGAGAGAGAAAGAAAGAAAGAAAGATAGAAAAAGGTCATATCGTTCATTTCGGTGTAAGGATATAAATGCCGGCAATAAATTCTTTGGATCGAAGCCATGAAAAAAGAAGTCCAATATCGCGTTGGAAAGTCTGTCTCATCGGGATAATAAAAAAATTGGAAGGTAAATTGTAAGAGGAACGGAAGTGTGGGTGGGGCGGAGTTGAAGGAAAAAAAGAAAGAAAGAAAAAAAAAGAAAAAAAAGAAGAAAAAAAATAATAATACAAAAAAAGAATAAGTCAACGAAGAAGGAGAAAAAAAGGGATGAATAGGGATACGTTCGCGCGCGCACACGCGAATATTCGACTCGTACAAACAGCCCCCGTATACCCCCCGTTATCCCTCCACGATGCTATCTACTACCGAGGAACGTAGAATAATTACGAAGAAATATTGGCCCGTAACTCAGTCCACTATCCATAATATCTAGCACGTTTATGGTGCCGGAGATAAACTGTCCTTCCCTCTTCACCCTTTCGTCCTCATCCTCCCTCTTCCTCCTCTCTATTCTCCTTCCGAGCTTTTGCTATACCAAAGGCGTCACCCTCGGGAATGACTTTGCTTTCAAATATCCATACGTACGTATATATGCACATACATATGTATGTATGTATGTATGAATGTATATACTACTAACATGCATGCATACGTACATATACACTATCGGCAAAAAGTTTGATATCATTCGTAGATTAAAAAAAAAGAATTAAATAAATATATCGATAAATTTTTTATGGTATCTTTTGCACGATTACTTTGTTCCCCATCAATTTCATTATTTTTTATTAATATATTATAATAGTATTATGTTTAAAGTAAAAAATTTTAAAAAGTCTTTACGGATTCAACGTTCTTTTTCCTTAAGATCACTTTGACTCTATATGTGTAAATTATTTTAATGTAAACATTTTGAGAAATGCCACGTGTATTGATTTACTACTGATAATGAAAAAGTTTGAAAATTGCATGTCAAAATCTAACATACTCCGATAAATACATTGTTTCACGAAATTTATGTAATAATTTTAGACTTTTGGCCGATAGTGTACATGTACGAATAGATCTACATATATGTAATGTAATAGAGTAGATTATATATATATATATAGTATATGCATATGCATGTATTACATAAGTTTCGATTCCTCCGCGATTCTAGAAGCTGAACGAACCACGTCGTGTCTAGTAGTCCCCGCGTATTTGTGTAATAATACAGAATATATATAGTTTACTTCGGAATTTATATATCTCTACGTGTCACGAAACACGATAACGAGCGTCCGTAAGCAGCGGCAACCACCTATGGAGGGTGATCGGATAGCTCTCAAGGGCGTAATTAGTTGCGAAACAGAAGCTATCGAATTACTGCGTCGAGACGAAGCTTCAACCCCTTCCCGCATCTAACATAAACCGAGAAATTTACTAAAACCCTACTACCAAACATCAATCCTACGAAAACCACGATCGTACGAGATTCTACTACGACCCCTCCCTTTTTCTTTTTTTTTCTTTTTCTATTAGCATTTCCAATTTATCTGTTATAAACGTGTTCTCTTTCAAACGTACGATATTATTCAATGTGGAAGAAATTCTTGAATGCGTGTGAAACGTTCACGTCCGACTATAGCATGACTTCGATCACTGCCAACGATCATACTCCTTCCTCCCGATCGATTTTAAAAACCCACCTTCAACGTAGATTCAATTTCACATTATTGAGTTATTATTATCCACGACAAACGGTAAAGTTTATTACTTTTGTTTACTTTAATATCATTTAATTTCTTTTTTATTTATTTAAAAATTTTCTTTGAAATTTATGCACGAATGATATTTTTGTTTTCTTTACTTTTTCTATTTTTGTATTTTATCTCTTTTACCAAATTTCTACTAAAATGTCTACTCGTTTCTATCGTAGGGATTTTTCCATGTATGATCGAAAAATACCGAACACAACCCACTCTCTCCTCTTCCCACCCCCGACTACTCTGCGTCTCGAGGACGACTTTGCTTCTTTTCTTCTCCCTGTCCCGTTAAAAATGTTCTCTCGATCATATTCGAGAAATCGAAAGACACGTTCTTGGAATACGGATGAAATTCCTTCAGTATATATATATATATATATATTTGGACGAAAGGAC